GAAAATGTCAACTGATTCTTTGGGCATGCATTCGGCGAAAGCAACACACCATTCAGGTCACGAAAAGGTTATTAACTTCTTTGGATATGCATTTGACGGGAGCAACACATCATTTAGGCCTGGAAAAGGTGCATTTAACGAGAGTCTCATTTCATTTAAGCCACGAAACAGTTAATATCTTCTTTGGGTATGCATTTGACGAAAGCACCAGATCGTTCAGGCCACGAAAAGGTTAAGAATTTTTTTGGGTATGCATTTGACGACAGCAATATATTATTTAGGCCATAGAAAGATTATCAATTGCTTTGACTATGCATTTGGCGAAAGTCACTCATTATATAGGCCACGAAAAGGTTAACAACTGCTTCGGGTATGCATTTTGCGAAAGCAACACAGCTGTTAGGCCACGAAAAGATTAACAACTTGTTTGGGTATGTATTTGACGAAAGCATCACATCATTAGACCCCGAAAAGGTTAATGAATGCTTTGGCTATGCACATGGTGGAAGCACTAAATCTGTTAGGCCACGATGAGGTTAAAAATCTTTTTGGATGTGCCTTTGACGAAAGCATCACATCATTTAGGCCTCGAAAAGATTAACAAATGCTTTGGCCATGCATATGGCAGAAGCACTACATCTGTTAGAATACGATGAGGTTAACAACTTCTTTGGGTATGCATTTGACGAAAGCAACACATCATTCAGGCCACGAAAAGGTTAACACCTTTCCGGTATGCGTTTGACGAGAGCAACACATCATATAGGCCACGAAAAGATTATCAATTTCTTTGGGTATGCTATTGACGACAGCAACACATTATATAGGCCACGAGAAGGTTCGCAACTTCTTCGGGTGAGCATTCGACGATAGCAACACATCATTTAGGCCACGAGAAGGTTAACAACTTGTTTAGGTATGCATTTGGTGAATGCAACACATAAATTACGAAAAGGTTACTATCTTCTTCTTGTATGCATTTGACGAAAGCACCACATTGTTCAGGTCACCGAAAAGGTTAACAACTTTTTCGGATATGCATTTGACGAGACCAACACATCATTTAGGCCACGAAAAGCTCAACAACTGTTTTGGCTATGCATTTGGCGAAAGCAACGGTTCTTAGCCCAAGACGTCGGCCAGAAAGATGCATCAAAACCCATAATTACGATTTGTTACGACCAAGAGTGAGCCAGAAAAGCCCACCATCACCCGGGAGGACGATTTGATGCGGCCGAGAATGGGCCAGAAGAGTCCCCAAAAAACCGGGAGTACGATTTGTGGAGCCAAGAAGGGTTCAGAAGCAACCTGCAAGAACTGTCAATACAATTTGTTGCGGCCAAGAGTGCGTCAGAAAGAACCACGAATACCCGAGAGTACGATTTATATTCAATATGGGCAAGAGAAGGCCAGAAAGAGCCATCAAGACCCGGGAGTACGATTTGTTACGACTGGGCCAGAATCAGCCACCAACCCCTGCAGTACGATTTAATAAGGGCAAGAGAGGCCCGGAAAGGCTTTCAAGAACCAGCAGCACGATTTATTGCGGCCAAGAGTGGGCCAGAAAGAACCACCAACTTCCGGAAGTACGATTTATTGCAGGCAAGAGTGGCCCAGAAACAGCTCAAGATCCGGCCGTACGATTTGTTACGTCCAAGAATTGGCCGGCAAGAGTTACCAAGACCCGGGAGTACGATTTACTACGGCCAAGCGTGTGCCACTAAGACCTGGGAATACGATTTGTTACGACCAAGAATGGACCAGACAAAACACCAAGATCCGACAATATAATTGACTACCCCCAAGAAAGGGGCCAGAAAGATGCATCAAGACCCGGGAGTACGATTTATTATTCTCAAGTGAGGGTCAGAATTTTCTATCAAGATCCGGGAATATGGTTCGATACGGCCAGAGTGGGGCACAAAGAATTAATATCCGGGAGCACGATTTAATATAGGCAAAAGAAGGTCAGAAAGAGCTATCAAGAATACGATTTATAACGATCAAGAATTGAACAGAAAGATCCGCCCAAGATCTAGGGGCACGATTTATTATGGGCAAGAGTGACCCAGAAAGAATCTTCAAGATCCGACAATACGATCTATTATGGCCAAGACTGGATCAGAAAGATCTATCAAAATCTAAGAAAAAAGATTTAATATATCTAAGAGCGGACCAGAGAGAATTATCAATATTCGGGAGCATGATTTATTAAAGACAAGAACGGGTCAGAAAGAATTTCCTAATTTATGAATCAATATTTTATTATATCCAAGAAGTGGGCCAGAAAGATGTATCAAGATCCAGGAAATAATATATATTATTCAAGAATAGATCAGAAAGATTTTCCAAGATCCGGGAATACGATTTTGATACGACCAATAATGAGATAGAAAGAATTAATATTTCCGAATGTGATTTAATATAGGCAAAGAAGAGTCATAAAGAGCCATCCAGACCCGAGAATATGATATTTTTACTATAATCAAGACTGGGCCAGAAAGAGACCGGCAATACGAAATAATAAGGCCAAGAACGGCGTAGAAAAGTCAAGATCTGGCAATACGATATATTATAGCCAAGAGAATATCAGAAAGAGAGACCAAGACTCGGGAGTGCGATTTATTACGGCCCAGAGCGGACCGGAAAGAATCATCAAGATCCGATAATTAGTATATCACGATCAAACGATTAGAAAGATCGCCAAGATCCGGCACAACGATTTATTACGATCAAGAATAGGCAAGAAAGATCCACCAAATTCCGATAATATAATTTATTCAGATTGAGATTTTGCCAGAAAAATCCATAAAGACCCGAGAAAATAAATTAAGAAGACCAAGAATTGACCAGAATACGAATTATTATAATCAAGAATAATTTAGAAAAAAAAAAAGAATATCGAAGAATACGACCTATCACAATCAAGATTAGATCGGAAAAATTACTAAGTCCTTGCAAGAAATAAAAATCAACCAAAATACGATAATATAATTGATTATATGCAAAATAGCCTCGAAAGAACCTTCAAGATCCGATAGTACGATTTATTATAAATAAAAATAACCAAGAAAATAATATTTAATACGATCAAAAATATCGAAATAAAATCATCAACCACCAGTGGAAATAATCTATATAATGCCAGAGAATATAATTTATTATAATCAAAGAACAAGCCAGAAAGAACCATTTTATAATTCGATTTAATAAGACCTCCTATAATCAGATAATATGATATATTATAGCCAAAACGAGATCAGAAAGAATTTTTAATATTCGAGAATATGATTTCTTATAATCAAGAATAATCCAGAAAAGATAGAAATATCAAAGATATCGAGAAAGAATTTTCCGCCAAGAAATAATAAAGATTCTAAAAGAAAAATAAATAAGAATAAATCAAATAGACCCGATAAAATCTAATAATACACGAAATTACGCCCAAAGAATAAGTCAGAAAAATTCTTCAAGACCCGGAAGTAAGAGCTATCAAAATCCGAGAGTATGATTTATTACGACCACATTATATCATCTTATCAATTACTATATAATTAATTCCAATTGCAGGGGAAAAAAATTGGCTTATTGTTACCAGGCATAAAAAATATCACTTTGTAGTCCAATCTCTCAGAATCAGGTTTCCCAATATCTTCATAGCCGGTTCTCCTGATTTTCAGCGTGGAAAGCGTGGCCTGTGCACTGTACATGAAGCGCCGTCCCCCTTTTGGGGGGCCTCTGGCTGAAAGCTTTCCTCGAACATCATCCAACAAACTATTTCTTAGGCTCCCTGGTCCGATTTTCCATCCACGATTCAGCGCCACAGTGGATGCACACCCTGTCATTGTAGCCATTGTTGCTAAAGGTGAGGATCCTTGGGTGTGGTAAAGCCATCTGGAGAAAACCATGGTTCCCGATTTGCTGGATAGACCATTGAAAAAGACACACATGCTTAACTTAAGTCCATGATCTACTCAAAAGGCCGGATGAATCCTCAAAAAACTCAACAAGGCTATGAAGCTCAATCCAGGGATCTCATGTTGGTCCTGTTGACACAGCTGCGGGTCACGTACGCACACCGTAATGGTCTCATCCTGCAGGTCACATAGGTCGAAAGGATGAGAGTCCCAGAGACGTTTCCCACCGGTGATCAGCGACACGTGGGTGGCGCGGAGATGCAGCATTGATGCGATGGCTTCACGAAGATCTTGGATCGAGATCAAGCCAAATAGGCCTTCCTCTAGATGACAGGAACATGCTTGGAAATGTTTGGAACAAATGCGAGGGAAAGATGGGGGATGGTTAAAAACCTATGGTAAACAGAACCCATTTTTGAAAGTAGTTAGACACCAGGGTTTTGATTTATAGCAGATCATAGTCATGTGTTTGCTCAGAGGCTTTTGATCCAATGGATAGATATGGCTAGTCATGATCATTAAATGAATGATTGTAAGTGAAGTTGTCAATTACCCACTTATGAAGAGTCACCTCCTCTCTGAAAAAAAGCCTCTGTTTAGTGAGAGCTTTTGAGGAAGGTTGTTGATTTCCAATGGTAAAGTGTAACCAGGTGTTTGATGATGCTTTTGATTATGGTTGATTGCCATTAATCGATCCATCTCAACATATGTTCAATGTTAATAACACAATGGCACACCATACCGGTCATTCATGATAACGAGTGGAGTTCATTTCCAATAAATAAAGTAAAGCATGCACGCACATGATGGGGGCTTTCCATCTTTGTTGACAAATAGATATGGGTCAAGCTACTGACGAGCACCAACATTGGGTTAATGCTCATCCCAAGAAGCCACTATTCTGAACTGATTTTTGGGATGGGGTTCATAGCAGGCTGCCAGAGCGGCGCGAGATCCACAGCCACGGATGCTTCCCGAAATGCCTACCCGCTGCGATCTGCAGGGAACGATGCCGGCTAGCCTGGTTATTCATGCATGATTCTCATTATGGGTCGTGCCCTCGGTCGAGGCGGATCGCGCCATTCAGACTGGGTGATTCTTGTGTTTGAAAATCAAAAAGTTCACGAAAAGCCAGGTGTCCCATGGTGCTTGAATTTCCTTGTAGAATCCTCCGCAACCGATCCAAACTGACTGGCCAGGTCGGAGCTGTGAGATCTGATATTCATACTGGCAAGGGGCGCGGATCCCAGTTTTGCCCTCAAAGGCCGAAAGGTCCAGCACTTCTCCACTCATATATTTCACCTGGACGCCCCTTTGCAGGAGTTCCTGGATGCAAGGAGCCATCTCTGCCGTCAAGGTGAGCACTTCATGTTCTGCCAAGAGCTTCTCATCCCAATTGATCATCTCCTTCCTCTCATCTCCCAGCAAAAGCCGCACGAATCTGGTGGGCCGAAGGGTGTCCCTGGCGATAATCTGCCGTGCCTCCATGAAAGAACCAGCCGATGCAAGGTCGGAGGTACATGGTGTTCCATCAGAGTTTAGCACCTTTAGCTTCTTGCTGACCCACCACTCACCCAAGGTTTCCATCAACTGCAAATGAAGAGTTGCACTTTCCAGCTGTAAGCTGCCATATTTGGATAATGCCGGGGATGACTTCGGATCTCCATGGTAGACCGTGATGAAAGCTTCGGGTCGCTGTGTCTCTGTCGCTACCCATGCCGTCAGGTCTCGGATGGACTGCACTGGGGCCCCGCGGGACCCTTCGGCCACGCTTACGTCCCGTTGCTTGCCGTCCGAAAAGATGAGGTGCAAGGAATTTCGCGAGATCATATCTGAAATGTAGCTGGACACTCTCACCACTGGCGGAAGGATGTCGCTAGACGAGACATCTGATTCATCGCTCAAAAGCTTGCCAGTAGCTACTTCAGTCAAAGAGATGTCATCCGCAAAGCAAGTGAGCGATTTAAAATACTTGCGCTTGATCAGATGGCGCAAGTCTGCGACATTCAATATCTTTTCCTGGATGGTGATTTTTTATACGAAATATGGTTGTGGCTTCAAGCGATCATCCCCTATAGGTGCTGGAGAAACCAAAATTAAAAAATGCGGCTGAAGCCGGCGTCCAGCTTCCGATTTCAGATCCACCAAGGCAAGCTCGGATCCCTTCGCGTCGACCAGCTTTACTTCTTGGCAGCTGGCCATGTTTGGAGCCAAGCGCTTCCAGTGTTGAGCGACTGAAGGACTCATCCATTCTAAGTCGAGGCTGGATCTGAGGATACATTTCCTGATTGGAGGCTGCCTCACTATTCCCAAAAGATCAGCCTAGTTGCGCAAATTGGGGGGGAGTACGGACTAGACCAGACCAATATTTAAGATTTTGGGAGCCACTACTTCAAGAAACACCCATAAAATCAGTGGTTTCAACCAATGATCCCAAATCTGGTTGATGAACACTGTGACTGAAACCACCGCCTAGCTTCCTCAAAGTACTGGCCTTGGAACCTTTGCGTTTCCGTTCGCCGACAGAAAAGTGATCCTTGCCATACTTCTGCACCGGATCAGCTCTTATCTTCCAGGTGGCGCCTGGACTTCCGTCTGCAGCCCAGAGCAAGGTGCCGTTCTTGATCACGTGAACCACGGAGGGGGCGGTGGGATGAACCCAATGGCCGGTCAGCTTCTCCATGGGCTGTGACATAAACCGGGGCAAAGGGACCTTTTGGAGCCGAGATATCATGGAAAATTTGATTAAAACTCGTTGTGAGCCAGACATGTTTTTCTAGGCAACATCCAACCACATCAAGCACGTCAGGTTCTGTCTCAGGCGGTACGGGCTGGTCGATGGTTGCCTGCCACTGACTACATACAAAGTTACTGCAGGTGCTGCAAGAACTGGCACCTCGGAACGAGACTTGCTTCCGGCTGACATGAGGCCCTTAGCCGCAGCAGCTTGTGCGTTACTGCCTACGAAGCATGGCGAAATGCGATGCGCCTCTGTTCTGCCAGTCTTGCGCAGAGACTCAGGCTCGATCTGTAAGGGTTGGGCGGTGCAAGGTGCGGCAACTCAGGGCTCCGTAGGGTTTCCGCGCTCGCACTCGGACAATCCAGGGGAGCTGTAGACAAGGCTATATAGTACTATATAGGCTTACGACGACAAGCGACACGCGTTTCTTTTCCAACATGCCACAGCTCACGAAAGAAAGTTGCCTCCTACTTACCCTTTGGCCAGGCGGCGGTCGAATTACAAGTCCTATACAAGTCCTGGGGCAACGGCCTCAACCCTAATCCAGGGGGAGCAGATGCCCTGCGACCGCATGCAACAAAACAGCCGACGGGCACTGGGGCTCAAACAGCCTCCAGACGTAATGGATGCTTAATCTCCAAGCAGGACAGTCCCTAAACCCTAGCCCGAAATTTAAGGTTTAGGGCTTAGGACATGGAAACTGTCACATGGTTCACAGGCGCTGCTTCTTAATCGGGCTACTAAGGTTTGTACTGCCATCTCCGCAACGGGGTTCTGATATCCCCCTCACTGGCCTTACTTACATAAGGTCATTACTCCAGTTTGTTTTCCATTTCTTGCTGCAAGTCCCCTAACCCTCCCAGCGCCCCTTCTCCTGCACACCCTCAAACCATGATCTCATGTGGCACCACAGCGCGGAGATACTCGGACACGGTCACCTTCGCAGGGCCACCGTAGAAGTCCAGGAAAGTGATGCTTTTCAGGTCGATGGTGAAATACTGGCCGCCGGTGTGGGCACCGCCGTGGGCCAACCAAGGTGCAAGGGGATGCCTGGCACCTAAGTTGACCTCGGCTTGGGTCACCTCGTCACCCGTCAGCGCGCGAAGGGTGCCTGTAAGTGCAATGCGGGCGCAAGTGGGGTCTTCAGGATCCATCCCATTGCAGATGCCCTTGGGGCTGACACGGTCAGGAAGTGCTGCCTCGGTCAGCGATATCGTGACATGGCTGTCGGCAGCGACATCCACTGCTGTAGGATCAGGCGTTGGCAGGTACAGCACCGGCAAGCCCGTGCTGTTGGCGCCGACACCGTCGGCCACTGAGCGTGCGTTCCCCCATGGGGAGCCTTTGAGGTGAACCGACTTGGTGCTCACGGTGCCCCAAATGCTGTGGTAGACCAGCCATCTTGCTCGCTGGGCCGGCCGATAAAACGGTGGAGGCTTGCCCCACTGCCGCATCATGCGTGAACGAGGAAGCTGCCAGGGCGTGGTGTGCTTCGGCTTGGCTGAGAGAAAATCCGAGAGCTTGACGACCTGACCCCCGCCGTAGGCGTCCAGGATCCAAATCTCCGAAGGCACCAGCTCATGCACCCGAAAGTCATGGCTAGCGGGCCAGTGAGCCATCTGAGGATGGCGTGCGAGGAGCCCCGCCTTGCCCAGCGCCTCATCCTCGCCGGAGACCCTCTTCAGCACGCCCGTGGCAGTCAAGCGCCCGCATCGGGGATCCTCGGGGTCATACTCCGCACGAGTGGGGACGATGCTTCCGCAGGATGAGTTGAGCGCTGCCTGACTGATCGTCAATGCAGCAGGAAGGCTGTCTTCATAGTCACCCATGAGGTAGAAGAAAAGCCGTCCTGTAGAATTCCCGACGGCGCCATCGGAAAACGACAGCGTGTCGCCGACCGGCTCGGAGGACGCATCGAGGGTCGACAAAGTTCCCCAGGACGCTTCGTGGACCAGCCACCGAGCATTCTCGGCAACCTCCTCTGGAGTGCGTGCCACCACCACAGTAAGGAGAGGCAGAAATCGAGCCCACATGGCGAAGAGAAAGGGCTTGAAGAAGCGCCAAGGAAATTCGATCCAAAATCTGTGCCAAAATGGCTTCAGCCGTAGACACCCTTCAGGAAAGGTTCACGGCTCACAAAGTGTCATGGACACAGCACGAAAAGCGATGGCATTTAGGGCTCACCGGTTCAAAAGGCTCAACCGAGTGAAGATGCTAGGGCAGGGCATGCAGACCCTTTAAATCCTGTCACACGGCCGGTTTTGCACAAGCCGCTGACGCGGACCTTTAGTCCTCAAATGCTTTCACCACTCTCCCTCCCTTAGCAGCCGAGCTAATCCAGAAAACTTCGTAGTCCGCCAAGGTCAGCCATTCAGCTTCGCTGAGAACAGTGCCCTGCTGCGATCGGTGGGTCCTCTCTGCCTTTGATGGCGGACCTGGAATCATAAGCTGCACTTTGAGTTGAATGCTATCGTCCTCCTTTCCTGTAACTTAACAACTCTCCGGGCCGCTTGGCGGCACTAACCAAACTACAATTCCTGTAGCCTGCAGTCCACCTTAAGTCTCACTATAAGCTACCATCCTCAGAGGAGGCTTCACTAAGCCACGACGTGCCGTACATGCTTCCATCGGCGCAACATTCGTTCTTGTTCTGTTGCACCGCCCCCCCCCGCCCCTCTTTGCCGTCAAGTAACCTGATGTTGCGGATGATCTGAAAGGCGGGACCTCTGGCCAGGGAAGGGCACCTCGATGTTCAACCAAACTGGCTGCAGGTGTCTTCTGCTTGTGGTGCTAGTGCTACTGCCTCTGCTAACGCCCTTTCGTCAGCTTCATGGTGCCCCCGATCAGAAGCAGAAAGGTCTTGGATCTCCCTTTCGCTCTGTAGAGGGGCGATATCTGGTGATCAGGGTCTTGATCCTTATAGCTCTCGTCGTGGCCACTACTCTTTTCGGCTCGTGTCTGTTTGCAATGACGACCCGACTCTTCGCTCATCCACTGTGCTTCTCACCTCCAATCGCTGTCCTCTTCTCACGCCACTGGCGATAATTCGACGTTCCGCTTTGCACAGCTCCGCTCCCCGCTAAGCCCAGAAAACACCTCCGAAGCCTCAAGTTTCAGCCAAGGCCGGGGCTTCTGGAAGATGCCGCAGTCGATCCTGAGTCTGCAGAACTCGCCTTTTTCAGTCATCACCGATTCTCTGTAAAGGCTCTCTCTCCGTCTGTTTCTAGGGCACTGGGGCCGAGACAGACACAGAGGGCGCAAAATCAGGTCGCAAGTTACGACTAACTAGGCATTGCTTAGTCACTTAGTAAACGTAGTGAGTGTTGAGTCCTATTATGATACACATTCTGATAAATTCTGTACTATACTGAACTTAGACCCCTAGCAAAAATTATAATTTTAGCAGCTTCTTAGGGTTCATAGTAGCCAAAGATTAAAAATTATTTCTAAGTACCCCCAAGTGTAATCTTACCAGGAAGTAATTGAAAATTCACACTTGCGCACGCACTATGTACCAACATGCGCACGCACTCTTGCCTGTGTATTCCTCTTGGTTGTATTCGTTCTTGGCGCTTATTAATCGATGATGGTGTTTCTAGCTTTCTCGTGAATACTAGCCGAGGTTTACCTGAAAGTTTACCTGTTTATGTTACGTTAGTCCATCTTGAGTTCACCATCTGGGTAAATGTCCGTGCTATCGATCTAGGATGTGGTGTTCTGTTTACAAAATCGGCTCAGTCAGAGATGTTGCACCTAGCCAACGGTCACCCTTAAACAATCATGCCAGTAATTTGCTGTGATTTGCTGAGATTTTAGTGAATAGGAATAGGGCTCTCCACTGCAAGCACCAAAGCAAGCCACACAAAATAGAAAACAAAACCATCAAAGACAACCCAGGCAAACATAAAGCAGCATCAGTTAAGTGAGCAATTATCTTTAGAAGGGTGTAATGTAAACAAATGCCTTTCCTGCTTTCACAGATTTCCCACAAAGAGTATAATGGTCCATACATGATAGACAGACGAAGACAGTCAACAAACTGATCTTCTCAAAGTAACATCTGCAAGCAGAGATCCATGCCCAGTTTTGTACGTGACAGAATGTGGGCGTGGCGGTCATGCCGCACTTGGCACAGATTTCCCACACCCCTGCTGAGACATGTTGACCATAGAGGCGGAATCTGTACAAAAGGGCGAAGTTCCTCAAAAGTTGTGTGTGGCAATATGCAAAGTACCTCACATGCATCTGTGATCACATCGCATGAGCACATACGTGTGCCCAATAGCAACTTATCAAGCTACAGTAATGATTCAACCAATGAACTTCATTCATGTAAAGACTTGCCAGATGGGTGGTCGAAGTCTCAATTAAGATTGAAAGTAATCTTCCGACTTGCATAATGCTGCTGGTCTTAAACAGGACATGGTTGAACCAAAAGCATGTCTGGAACTCCAAAATACTCGTTTGCTCTGCTAGTCGAAACAATTGAAGTGACCGGATTGGTCTTGACCATGACAACTTCACAGAGCATAGTGTAATATGTTAAACGATCAGCGACAGTAGTAGTAACAATATCAACAAATAGCAACCCAACAATCCCAGCAGGCTCCAAACACAAGGAGCAATGTTCAATCGCGTATTCGAACGGAGTCAGCACGTATTCAACTGAAACCCCCTCGGATCAAAGATATAAGGTTGAAGGTGCAAAGTCCGCCCCAGAATCTTCCAACCTTGGATCCGAGGCATATTCAGTAGAATACGCTTTGAAACTTTGAACCCGCTTGAAACAGCTCTCTTTGGTTCGGTTGATCCACGGCCAGAGGTTGGTGCTTGTTACGATCTGCACGCAATGCCTTCCTGAAGCTGAGATTGGGTACATAGGGAAGGGGGGCACGTTGCATATCCATAGACAAAGTCTTTAAGTCTATTACATATATATATAT